TTCACTTGTGTGTCGTAAGAACAATCAAAAGCAGTAGGGCAGAACTGAAGGAATGCAACAATTTATCACAGCTAATCTGAAGGGCTGAGTACATACCACTTGGTCAGAAGCTGGCCTCATCATGCGCGCAAGAACATTGAGTAGGTCTTGTCTCTTGAGAAACTAAAAACACAAGTTTGTAAACACAGAAGATAGCTAAATACACCTCAAGTGCAGCACTTCATTGGCAGATAGCAGTGGGGCTCAAGGAGAAGGAGGACAGTTATAAGTAGATGTTTTTCATAGGATAATTTAGCTTTGCAGAGCCCTTTGGCAGTCACCTATACTGTTCAAAAGCAGGCCTACTTTCTGCATTAGATGAGTTTCTCGGGGCCTTGTACCCTCAAGTTATGAGCTGAACCGATGTCCCAAAGTCCCTCTAAATGGCAGCTGGGCTCTTCAGCATCCAGTTACCTCTGTTTACGCTATGCTTCCAGTTTCTATACTCTTTCTGGAAGCATTCACCCTTACCCACTTTGATGGGCAGAATACAGGCCTGTACAGATCTTTAGTCTGACCAGTCTTCCCTTCATGTGTGCATATTCAGAACCCTGTCTCTGAACGTGAGCAAAAGAGTCGAGCTAGGACTCCTTGTTGCTCACACTGGAATGGAAAAGCCTCTAGAACCTGAAAACTGGTGACAGGTAAACAGTGCTACAAACTCACTCATCCTTACCTTTAGCTGGATGAGCATTCCTTCACAGCACACCCTTCCAGAGCACCACAAGTTATATATGTGTTCATTTTCTTGATTTAGTTTCCCAGTGCTTGTAGCTTCTTTATTAGTGCCATCATCCCCTGAAGAAAACAGGGAAAAAGAACTGCAGTCTAAAAATCACAAAGTTAAACACCGACGTTCATCAGTAGCCTCAGAGCTCAGTTGTTGCTGGATTACTTCAGTATCACCGTGATGTTTCTGAATAATTGATACTACAACACCATAATCTAATTTCAGCTCTGGAAGACTGGCACACTGTCTACACACAGAGCTGTCATTAGTGCTATCATGCATCTGCATAGGAAAGGTTACTCTTCTCTGTAGCCTACATGCAGGTCTAAAACCAGCTTTAGTCAAATAAACTAAAAATGGATCCTAGTCATCATGGAACTCACCAACAAGAGCAAAGTTACTTTCTAGCAGCTCCCTGTGAGTATTGAACCATGCATGAGCCAGACGGTTGTTTTTGTTCTTCCCAATGATGTAATTCATGATGTAAGCAAGAAGACCTGTTACCATCAGGATCTCCATGTAATAACTCTCCCAGCTGTTTTGCAGGTGAGCAGGGACCTACGGTAAGTGAATGGAGACTGGTTTTTACATATTGAATGGGTGGATTCCACATACACAAACAATTTGGAAAACGCAGAGTACTGGAGAAGCTTCATCTCAAACACAGCAATAAGCTTCACAAAGGCGACAGGACAGAGCTAAGCCTACATAATGCATTTGGCTCTACTGGGACACAGTAATCACACAGAAAACAACTGATAATAGCATTCCCAAAATACCTGGCTAATACAAATAAAGTACTTCTCTCTTCCAAGTATGCCTGCGCTAGCATGTATCCCTCAGACTAGTCAGCAGCCCAGCATTTCAACCCACTGATTATTTGAGCTTGATGCCCTGCCCATCACAGCATTATCTGATCATTATGTAACTTCTGTTGAAATCTAAATACCCAATGTCCAGGAGCACTTTCAGGATGCCACCAAGAGCCACAGGCTGCGTGGAGGAGCAGGGAAGCCTGCCTGACCTTGCCATCTTCAGAGAATAATTAGCCGTTCTGCTATCACTGTATCACCCTTCAGTCATAAAAGTACCCAAACCTTAATTTCCACCAGCAAGGTCAGCCACAATACTTAGGGATAATAAAAATGCAGGCCTCAAGCACGTGATCATTCTGTAAAAGACTCTCTTGGGAGGCAACAAGAAGGTCATGCAGGGTGGACAGAGAGATTGCCTTCAAAAACCATCAGAGGAGTCAATTTCTGATTTGAAACTTTAGCCACAGACAAGCTAAAAATACACTATGTTTATTGTAAGCATATCGTCATTGCAACCTCTTCTTTACATGTTGACAAAGCACTCGGACGTTCTGGGATGTACAATTTTTCTCTGGATTAAATGGAGCTCATCACTGTAGTTCCTCCACTTCTCCCCCATAGTCATATGGGTAAAAGAAGCTAAGTTATAAAATGCTTTGGTCAAAACTATGTTTCAAAAGGTCTGTTTTAATGAAGAATTTCCTGATCCATATTCCAATTACAATTCTCAGTTTGAGTACAGAATAGAGCATTGATTCAAGGATGGCAATTCCAGCAGCTTAAAATAGAGATCAACAGACCAAAGGCACCTGCCCTGGAAGTTTTACTTCAAGAGTTGCTATTTAAAGTAGCATAAACCAATGCAGAAGAGCATGGAATTGGGAGCTGGCACACCTGGATCACATTCTGCTGCTATCCTGTTGCATTATTTCAGGTATTTCTTGTCTCCACACTTCTTCCCATTTCTGCACCGTCTCTCGTTAATTCAAATAGCAAATTCTTTAGGACGGATTCTCTCTTATGTGTACACTGTACACCAGTGACATTACTGGCATGCCACCTTAAAAAAATAAGTGATGAAACACCAAATAGAAAGCGGATCAACATTTATACCTACATTAACTATTGTTATGGGGTCTTTATTTTTGCTAGGAGATGCATCTGGTTTCTCTTCATAGCCTTCAAACTCCTCATCATCATACGGTTCACTCTCAGTATCACCTTCCTGAAGGACAAAATCACAAACAGCATGAAAATCCAAAGCCCAGTAGGCAAAATCCAAAATGATAAGGTGAGAAAGAAAGGTGTAGAGATACTGTTAGGAAACACATAGGGGAAGGAGGTGAGGCGTTACCTGTGCATCTGCGTCATCAAAGTCTTCCTGATTCTCATCCTGACCTTCAAGCTCTACAGTGGCTTCTTCTTCATCATCTTCTGTAGTGATGATCCTCTGAGGAGACTCTGTGACCGCATCTTCATTAACATCTTCAAACTCAGCAAAGTCATTATCATCATATTCCATAATGTCATCTCCATCCTCAAATTCATCATACTTTGCCAAAGAAAAACTCCATGGGATGAACAGGACAGCAATAAAAATATAGAAATTCTTCATTTTCACTGGGGGAGGCGGGAAATAAAAATCAAACATTGCAAGAAATCTTTATCAATTCTGTTACATCACACCTCCAGTAACACCCAACTTCCATGAACAATTTAAAAACACTATCAGGGTCAGACCAGCGAGAGAAAGAAACCCCTGCCTGATCTTGCCATTTTCTGTATAAAGAAAGTGAATACTCTTACAAGAAAAAATAACTTTGAAGGTGAGGTTCTAGGCTCTCTTGCTTGTACCAGCAGCAAGTTCACATCTGGCCAGGCTGGTCAGATGAGCAAGTTCTGGAAGCAGAGATGTTCCGCTATAAAACTGACTCTCCAGTAGCATCCCTCAGTCAGTTAGCGTTGCCAGCTCATTTTGAAGACCACACACTGTGCCTACAGTTGTTACTAATTAGCAATTGGACACAGTCACATCAGTGAATGTGTAACAGCAGCAGTAAATCTTAAAATGCACTTAATGCATTTACTTTAAACAGCAATGCTCCGATAGCCTCTGCCAGTTTAAAAGCGCTCATCTTTGATTTTCTAGGCTGCATGCTCACAATCAGGTCCCACGGCATCCCAGCACGATTTCCGTTTAGAGATGGAGACCTTTTGTTGTTAGCTTTACCAAAAAACCAAAAAAAGAGGATGGATATTGGCACTGATCCCCGAAACAACAGAGTAAACTCGGGCTCATGAGACTAAAGCTCTCACCGCAGATCTGCCAGAAACCTGCAGAGACAGTTTGTCAGTTCACCTTTTTTTGCCCTCGGCTTCCTATGTCTCTTCTGCTTGATCTCAAAACAGTCCCGGTCTGCCACTCAGACTGTACATCGCCGAGAATTATGCATTACCAAGGTCCAAACTAAGAGCCTCAAAAGGCAGCAGTAACCCTACCACTGCATTTCACAAACGGCTACGGAGGATCGGCTGCATCAGACTTGGCAGTAAGACTCATTTTACTCCCTCCCGCAACCAGATCTGAGTGGGAACTTGAATGTTAATGAGATTATTCTCTTAAAAACTTGAAATAGAAACAATTTGTTTCTAAATTAGACCAGCACTCCTCCGAGTACCACATGCAGGGAACCCACTGCTACAAATGACAAGGACAGCTAAAATAAGCGCCTTTGTCAAAGACTTCTCATTCTAGCGAAGACCTGAACAGAACATGTTCCCAAGAACATTAAGCAGGATGGGAAGTACAGCAAGGCAGAGCCCGGGAATTTAGCACGTTGTCTGGGTTTGTCACAATTTTATGTGAATTTAAACAGAAGAACCACACAGCATTTACATATGACAGAATTTGCATTCAGAGGTTAAGAACACCAGGACAACAGAGCCACCTGCTCAGCCAAACCCCAAGTTTCACAGTAAGAATTTCGAGACTTGGAGCATATCCACTCTCAAAAGACCCTACAACTCCATAGAGCCTTATGCAACACGAACTTCTGCAGCCGATTCCGAAGAGACAGCTGAACTAGAGAGGGCTGAAAACTGGAACACGCTCCTAACTCGGCCGTCTCCGTCACAAGGCAGAACGCGCTCTAGGTACAAACAACTCCACGAAGCAGAACATGCTTTGGCAGGCCCGCCACGATCCACATGCCACCGGCTTTCCCTTGCAAGAGGAACAGATTCATCCACCGACCTCCGCACAGGCGAGAGGGAAGGGAGAGGTGCTGGGCCCCAGCAGGTCGGGCCCCCACCGTGACCCACCAGCCTAAAAAGCAGGGACACCCACCGCAGGTGCCGCTCGGCGTCCCGCCGTGCCGCGGATCCCCTCGCTCCAGGCACACGCCTCCGCTCCCAGCTCCTTCCAGGGACACAAGTCAAGGTTAGCAAGCCTAAAATTAGCTCCTGGGTTCCCCACCGCCCCGGGGCGCGGGCCCCCCTCTCCTGCCCCGCACGCCCGACTCCCCACA